CCCCCCTAATCCCTATCTCACTTGAAGAAACTGTAGAGCGCGGGTTGAATGGGCTTCCAAGCGGGAAGCAACGCTGCCGCCCGGAAGTCCTCCTTCGTCAAGATCACCGCCGCCGCCACCCTTGACCGCCCCCGTGCAAGCGCACCTCTCCCACCATCCTCCTGCGGTGCCCCCCCCTTCTCAGCACCAGCTCCCGTGACACTCTGTCGAGCGCTTCCTCCCTGGAGCCCCCCCCCCCCGGAATCACAATCTTTGTCGTCATCGGCTGCGGGTATCGGGGTGCCTCCCTTGAGTTTTTTCTTCTTCTTGTTTGGCTCGCTGCTGCTACTGCCCGTGCCGGCGACCGCGGCGCGCTCCCCGTCTCCCTCATCCTCGTCGCGCCTGCGCTTTTCCTTGGCGCCTTCGCTACTGCTACCGCCCGCGGTGACCGGAGGTTCCGCTGCGGTCTTGCTCTCCCTCCCGGGGAAAAGAAGGTGCATGAAGGCCGGGTGAAGGCCTTCGAGGCAACACACCTGGTCGATCAGCAACCGACATTGCGGGGGGAGGGGGGGTGTACTCATAGTCGTGCATGCGTAGTCGTTAGACCATTGACCTCGCATCCCTGCAAAGCCGGGACGGAGCACGCCGGGTTCCCACCGGACCAGGCTCTCACATCACCAAGCGCGAAGCGCCGTGAGATATTCGGCGAGTCGCATGAAGGGTGTGCTGCATCCTGCTGAGGGTGTTCGGCATCTTGTGCTTACTTCCTTGCGTACGGATGACAGCTGCGTATGAACTAATATATTTTCTGGTGCTCTCACTTCCAGAGACAGTCGTAAGCACTGTGTAACTGCCTCCTCGAGGGTGCTTGACCATTTTAACAGAACGTGGTGCGATCATCCCCCTTGCGCCGAGTGGGGGTTCTCGACCCCGCACATGATCTACTCGACCACCATCATGGTTGCCGCCAAAAAAAAACAGAGGAAAAAAAAAAACGGTAACCTGGTTGCCGAGTTCACGAAGTGAATTGGCTT